GTCATGGCCCCGCCCCCGGCGCCGCTCGAAGCCGACCGCCTCCGCCTCCCCTCCCCCTCCCGCCCCGGGAAGGGAGACTTTTGCAAGTTGTCTGGGACCGGAGTAGGGGATGCGCGCGCGGGGCCTGACGCCCGGTGCCCCCGGCCGCCCCCGGCCTCCTGCGGCCGCCGGTCAGCCCGGGCGCGGGGGAGAAGGGGTCTCCTGCGCGCCGCGGGGAGCGGCGGTTTGCGCCTCGGCTTTGAGGTTCCCGCCGCCTCGGCTCCGGCTCTCCGGGGGGGCGGGGCCTGGTGGCCGCCGCGCATGCCCCTTGCGGCCCGGCACTGGCTCTCGCGCCGCCGGGGAGACGGGGGCGGCCAGCGCTGGGGCGGGTGCAAGGGCGCATGCTCCGGAGAGTCCTCCCCCTGGAGGTCGGAAGCCCCCCGGCTGAGAGGTATTTGGGCTTTGTTCATCGCTTGGGGTCCGGAGGCGGGGCGCTAGGTGAGAGCTCCGTGCAGCGCTCCGCCCCTCCTCTCTCTGCAGGAAGCATCTCCGTGTTCGGAGTGGGCTTGGATTTGCTCAGTAGAGTGGGCCTTCGCATCGCAACATCGCGACCGTCTCAACTTAGGTGCCCGCAAAACCCCGCAGAGCCAGAGCTCTGAGCCTGGTGCTGCGATCCTGGAAACCTGTGAGATGCACGTTTAGGAGCGGGTCCGAGCTCCCCAGGTTCCCAGGCAATCCCGGGAGAGGAAGAACTTCCACGGAGGTCCTTGACGCTGACCTCTGGAGAGGGCCTATGTGCTCTCCCCAAAGGGTGTGTCAGGGTTAACAGCGCCCGATTGCTTTCCTCCCAAGGAGGAAATGGTTAAAAATCATCCGCTTTATAGACGAGAAAACTGGGGCAGCGAGTGTCAGGGCCCAGCCCAGAATCACATGCAGCTGGGTTTCCACACGGGTTTCCACACGGGCCCAGGTGTTTTCTGACGTCATCCTCACGCCCCTGTGAAAATGCTTGGTAATTGCCCTCCCTGTGGTGGTGGTGGGGGAGCCCAGGTCCCTAAAATGGCCTATCTGGGCTGGGGACCGTGCCGGGAAATGGCCACAGTCTTAAGAAAAACTCATGAGCTGTTTCCCTCTGACCAGTCGAATCCTCTGTGTGAGGCCCCAGACATTTGCCCTCGGTCTCTGGATGGTAGGAGAGAGCTGGAGAGCAGGTGGGCGCTGCCTCTGCTCTCCTCTCTCCTGTGAGTTGACAGTCAACCTATTAGAGCAGTGAGTTTTGCTGTGAGGAGGTAAGATTCTTACCCAACGCTGGGACTCGCCCAAGGAGCTAGCCAGGGAGAGAGAGGGGGGCGGTCTCCAGGCTCCCACCAGTCAGTGCACAGCGGCCTGTCTGGTGGCAGTGGCACTGCTGAGTCTGAGACAGGGCCGTCCATTGCTGTTGAAGGTGGTGTGACACGTCTCCTATCTTTTGAGATCCTGAGAGAGACATCCTTATGTTCATGTCCATGTGTGTACATCCCTTCCCCTATCTTCTTAAAGAGCAAAGGGTCTCTTAAGCAGTTTCCTTTGCACTGGTCAGCACACCGTCCTAGGCTCAGGAGACGGAGGGTTCAACAAATGCCTTTTTATGCCTCCTGGAAAGTGCATACCCCAAGTTTTTTAAGTTTTTATTAGCATCCAGGAGGCCCGGGCCGCCCCATTGCCCTCCCCCAGGTCGGGGTCGGCACCGCCCAGTCCTGCATGGACCTCCTGCCCAGTATCCCCGGCCCCAGGTCCCTGGACTGCAAACGAAAAAAACGCGAGGTCTCTGCCTGTTAAGCAGTCCCAGGCCCACAAGTCCCCAGCTCGTCTCAGAAAGAGGCTTTCACTGAGAATTCTGCCAGCCTCGCCACCGTTCAGGGCCGCTTGAAGGCGGTTTGTGTGAGGGCAGCCACCAGGAGTTGGTCTGAAATTGTGCTGCAGACTTTGGGCTTGTGAAAGAGGAACCCCAGATACTTGTGTGGTTGAGGGGAGCTGCCTTACGTGAAGGGCGTGCATTTTTATAAAATGTCCTTATTTCGGTCTCAGGAAATGGTCTCTCCAAGGTCCTTGGGTTTATATGTCGCTCTGTCAGATGTGAGCATGTTGTGATGGTCTGGGGTTGATGCAGCCTGAATGCCCCATGAACTTCATGATCCTGTAGATAAAGCCAGCCGCCTGGGCTCAGCCTAGAAAACATAGTTTTTACAGTGTTGGGTTGCTGAGGTTTTGTGGACCCTGAGACAAATCTCCCCTCTGAAAGGGCCAAATAAATACACCTGGAAGCCCAGCTTCAAGTCTGAGTGGAAAGCCCATTCGGGAATTGGTTGTTGCTGGCATTTCTCTGTACGGTCTCCCTCCACCGAGACAGAGCAGCAGCCTTCTGAATGGATAGATGTTAAGGGTTGACTCTCGGTCTCATAAACATGCTCCTTGCACTTGGGCAATAATTCAAAACTTGCTCTGGACCAGAAACCCCATTTTGTTGATGAAGAAGCTCAGTGCCTTTCCCCCCGGGGCCGTTTATCTCTGCCCAGCTCACGTGACCGGGTTGTCAGGCAGCAGCAAGGT